CAAGCGGGAACAAAAGTGGAAGAGAAACAATATTATGGCTGAAAATCTTTCCTCAATGGCAAAAGTCGACCAAACTGGCAATCATTTATTATAAATAATTAGTTAAAATACAACGTTTCGGCTGTCATTGCAGCCCTTTTCAAGTAAATCTATAAAAAGTTACATAAAAATAATTATAATTTTAATACATTTCGTCGCAACAAATAATTATAAATTCATATACAAAAATATGTTACATATACCAAACGTAAATGCATAATAAATTAATACAGTAAATCAAATTCACTGCATACCACCGACAATATTCACCATTGTTTTAATGAACAATGTAGACTTGACAGAAGTTAGCAAGAATCTTAGTCATACGCGTTAAGAAAATCGAGACAAACTAATGTGTCTTTCGCAATCTAAAACCTCATAACGAAGTCAAATAAATAAATAAATAAATAGGTAAAAAGAAAAATAATTTAAGTAGAGTCAAGAACACGATATCCCATCATAAATCCCACTAATTACTTGAAATTAGATTTACTTGAAAAGGGCTGCAATGACAGCCGAAAGTTGTATTTTAACTAAATTTATAATAAATGATTGCCAGTTTGGTCGACATTTACCATTGAGGAAAGATTTTTATTAATTATTACTGACGAACCTCAAGGATTATTATCTGATTATGGCTGAAGCCCAGGTGGGAGACAAAAGGCGTCCGGGCAATTTAGCGATGTCGGCTATCGTCACCCGGAGGTGGCTCTGATAGAAATTACGATTGGCGGATTGATGCGACGCGTCGAGAAGGGATGCGACGTGGAATTGCGCGAACGAGCGGACGTGGCGAGTGGTTTCGGCGTTAAGCAGGAAGCCGTCCCGACGAAGCGGACCCATTAAGCGCGTCCTACGGGCCCCCTACTTTGAATCTTCTCTCTTTCTCTCTCTCCTCGTCGGCCACTGGCCCTTCAGACTGCGTTTTATCATTTCGACTCATTTTTCAATACGGCCCGAGACGCAAACGGCGATGGTCGATTCATCCGTGGGAATTTTAATTTAATCGAGAATCGAGTTATAATAGAGCTATATATGTAGATAGATATAAAAATATGACAGTAACACTGTATATATATATATATATATATATATATATATATATATATATAAAAAAAAAAAAGCTATTTTCTTTAAATTATAGGTATATATAATCTCTAAAAACTCACCTTTAAAAAAAGGTAAAAAAAGGCGACCAGTTAAGGGCACGCCATTAACAAAAATTATCCATTGCAAACCATTTACAATAGAATTGTATGAAAAATTATCGATTATAAACCCATGTACAATCGTAACAAAAGTAATGAAATAAAAAAAAAATTGCGCCAAGTGAAAGTAGAAACTTGTACCAGTGGAAAATTAAAGTTGCAGACATATATAGAGTCGTATATGAATCAATAAAAATTTAAATTTGCAAATGTAGAATTGTACCATAAAAAAACTTATCTTTTTAAAAAAAGATAAACAAGATGCCAAGTCCATGCGCCATGTGAAAAAGTGTTAAACAAAAAAGTATTTTTAAGTAAAAAAATCTATCAATTGACAAAAATTTATGTTCTAAAATTAATATCTCTACAAAAAGTAATGTCCAATTATTGCGCGAATAAATAACATTTTTATAAAAATTAAAATTTAAAAACTTATGCAAATTTAAAATTAATATAAAATAAAAAGAAATAAAAAAATTTTAGTTAAAAAAACTGGGCGCGCTGCTAAATAATATTCTAATGATATTAAAATTAAATTGTTACTTTTAAACTCATTGCAGCGCGCCCAGTTTTTTTAACTAAAATTTTTTTATTTCTTTTTATTTTATATTAATTTTAAATTTGCATAAGTTTTTAAATTTTAATTTTTTATAAAAATGTTTATTTATTCGCGCAATAATTGGACATTACTTTTTGTAGAGATATTAATTTTAGAACATAAATTTTTGTCAATTGATAGATTTTTTACTTAAAAATACTTTTTTGTTTAACACTTTTTCACATGGCGCATGGACTTGGCATCTTGTTTATTTTTTTTTAAAAGATAAGTTTTTTTATGGTACAATTCTACATTTGCAAATTTAAATTTTTATTGATTCATTATACGACTCTATATATGTCTGCAACTTTAATTTTCCACTGGTACAAGTTTCTACTTTCACTTGGCGCAATTTTTTTTTTATTTCATTACTTTTGTTACGATTGTACATGGGTTTATAATCGATAATTTTTCATACAATTCTATTGTACATGGGTTTGCAATGGATAATTTTTGTTAATGGCGTGCCCTTAACTGGTCGCCTTTTTTTACCTTTTTTAAAGGTGAGTTTTTAGAGATTATATCATTCATTTTTGTATATGATAAGCATCTTTAAATAAATAAGCAAATTCAATTTTTCTGGCATTTTCTTATTTTAGGTACATATATATCCAATAATTAATATACAAAATTAAATATTATTCATCACACAATTTGTATCAAAATAATATATTTTAAAAATTTATTTTAAATTTATTTAATCATTTTTATCATTGTGATTGTAGTGGCAAGGATTTTATTGCTCAGTGTCATTGCAAGCATCTGGCCTGTATATACCATAATATATTGTGTAATACATTGGCTAAGTATGACAATATGGATTTTGATAGATTCCCATGGAATATTGGAATTTTGTCGGACTTGCAGTCATCCACCACATATGCAGCCTACAATTAAAGAACGCATTTATTCCATATTATTTGCTTCTGTTATTGGCATAGTGCACATTTTTATATATCTCAATGCTGTAGATAGCAAAACATTTTGAAAACATCTATCTTTCTATGTTATCTGCTTTTTTGAAAATATTGCAGCAAATTTATTATGGCAATATGCTTGTCCTCCTGCAGTTAAAGAGGCTTAGTACTTTAATATAATCTTTATTATTTGTATCATTTCCTTTTTCTTGGGAATTACAGCAATGCTTTTGTACTATATTGTCTTGCATCCCTCAAAAAGACAACATACTTCAAACGCACCAGTTCAAGCAATAACTTTGATATTTATTTACTTTAAAAAATGAGAGATAAACTATACAATATGCAATTAACCTTATCTTATGACTTTTATAAATCTTATGATAAAATCTAACTCTCTCTTAATCTTTATTATGAAAAGAATCTCGGTATTATATGAAATAATTTCATTGTAATTAATAGTTTAACTTTCAAAAATTTTGCAAAATAAAATAACTCATACATTGTATTTCTACCATATAATAAAAAAAAGATAGGTAAATATAAATAAATAAATATATATTTATGATATACAATAAATAAATATATATTTATATTTATATATAATAATATATATATTATAAAATGTTGGATTTTTATTATATATATATAATTTACAAAAAATCATTTTTATATGCTATTGAATTTTGAGGATATCATTAACTTTCGATGCGTGTGCAAGAAATTTCGTTATGCAGCCAAATATGACAAGTTTTTGGAAAAAAAGTTATTTCAGAGGTAATTATGTGATTGTAAATCTTTTGTTATTTTGTCTCATTAACGCTTGTCGCACAATGTACATCACTTCTGCGAAGAACGTATATTATAAATATGTAATAAATACAAATATTAGAAAAATTAGGTATGTTGCATTTATGTTGCATATTAAATTATTCGCTTCATTTTTTCTATTGCTCAATAATTTTAACAAACTCTACCCGTTATATATATATATATATATATATATATATATATATATATGGAATGTAAACGTTAAATATAATATACTGATAAGAATTCTTAATTTTCGGCTGTCATAAATTAAGAACCAAATATTTTTCAACCGACATTTGTCAATTGATGTTTATTTAATTAATCACACAATGTTTTGACCACAGTGTTTCGATCATATAATTTTGGGGTCCTTCGCACACTTAACAGTAACACTTGAGAAGGACAAAAATTATATGAAACGTTGTGTGATTAATTAAATAAATATTAATTGGCCTGTATCGATCGAAAAATATTAGTCATTAAATTTTTTTTTAGATTTAATTGTTAAAAATTAAATTTAAAAGTAACTTTGCTTATTTATTTTAATGTGTATTTTCAATATATTTAATTGCATTTTAAATATAAAGATTATATATATGATATATATTCGTGCTTAAAACAAACAGATTTTCTATCGGTTCTTTTTCATAATTAGCATTGAAATCACAATCAAATCTTTATAAAAGTAAAAACGTGCCAAGTAACATATATAAGCACAGTCGACATTGTATGTAAATATGCTTTCGAAAAAATTGTTCTACAAAATATTAAAAAAGAAACTTAATATATACACATACATACTCATACGCACATTAATGTTTATTAATTCCATATAAAATACACGTATAGAATTATGAAATATACATATTAAAATCAAAATTTGAAAATATAGTTTTATATACTTTTAGGAATACGTAGTTCAAAAATAAATATAAAACTAATGTTATTCATCCAAGTATAAATTAAATTACAAATTAATATTGAATATTATATATTTTAATTTTCTGAATAAAGTATAAAAAGAAGAGATATATATATACTTATGCTTTGAATTGAATACTTTAAAAATTTATTAATTTGAAAAATTACTTGTACAATCACATTGTTTAATATCATTAGTGTTTGCTGTTACCTAAATAAAATTATATAGATGAAACTTTGGAATCATCTTATCTGCATATAGATAATAAAAATACGTATTACCTTTATATCTGCATCTTAAATGAAAAAAAGTATTCTCTTTACTATATAATTTATCTAGAGTAATTTTCAGATAATTTTGGTTTAAAATCATAGCACAAAAAAATACTTAAAGTAGACGGTAAACCGATCAAAATTTAAAAATATTTATAAATATGAATAAATATATATTATTGTATCCCTTTTATAATTAACATTTTTTTATAACTATGTTTTTCAGATGGCCCGATGTATAGAGACAATATAAAATTTTTAAGGAAACAAAGGATGGACAAAACATGAACTTTCTTGCAAAAGGCCTAACTTGTGCGACACAGGTGCGAAACTGCTTGTCTCACATTCTTTTTTACGATTATTATTACAACAATAAATCAAATCAAAATTATGACATTGACCCAATCGATGATGTAATCGGATTCATTGATAATATAGATGAATATTTAAATCGTTTGTTTGAAAATGAACCTTTTTTTCGAAGACTTACCTCTGCAAATGAGATGAAATACTTGTTCTATATTGACGAGATTAAATACTTCTTATCACCATCTCCACAGTAAGATCTTCATATATATTATAATGCTACTATTATCACACAATTTAATGTTTTATTTTATTGATTAACTTAATATTTCAATACATAATTTTTTTAGAAAAATTGATCGCAATTCAATCGAAAGATATTGCGAAATAAAATTGTCTCACTATAAAAAACTATCTTCGATACGAAATGAGTTGGACAGATATATAGTGAAACCTGAAAGAGAACAGCTTTTGGAAGAAATTTGTACTTTCGTGGCAATATATATTCAAGTTCGAGAAGATGTATGTTACACGAATGTAAGTGCATCATTGGATACAATCGCACAAGAGGTACTGAATTCTCTTAGAAAGAAGCATCCGAACCATTCGATATTCTCCACGTCTGAAGAAACTTTTTCCTATTGGAAAACCAACAATATCAAAGATAATCGATGGGATGAAACAGAAAGTACGCTTATTATGGATACACTCCAGGAATATATATTTGGCACTTTAAACTTTCGAGTATGTAGCTCCGTACCCGAAGATATCAAATGTTTGTGTATAGATTATGTAAGTTATTATAGATTATAATATATATAATTATGGGCCATATATGTATACGTTATATGTTGTTTTTAATATTCTCTCGCTTTGATTAATTTGTTCTGTATTATACCCGGCACAGGTTTTACAAAGTAAATCTGGTGAAGATATCATTGTATATACAATATTTCATAGCGTGGCTAGAAGAATTGGTCTACGTTGCGATGCAATAAATTTTTTTACTCGATTATCTATATTTTGGAAACCAGAATTGTAAGTACAGATATATATTAAAATCGACATTATCATTATTTCTCGATAATCTTTCTTTTTTTATTATACGCTTCCAATATAATTTTTTATTATATAAATTTTTATAATGATTAAAGTAATAATTTAATTGTTTACAGCGTCACGAATAATTTTGAAAATGCACGATGTTTTTACACACAAAAGTATTTCCCCGAGTATCGTGTTATTGATAATCTATCAGAATACATGTCTGTAAGACCAGTCGCAATAACAATTACAAAGGTTAAAAATTACTTATTTATTACTTCTAATAATTTTAAGTTATTAATATATTTCTAAATTTACAAAGAATCAATATATTACACTAAATATGTATAGGAAGAAGAGAAATGTGCAATCTCTCATTTTTTAATTTATAATTAGATTTTTGTTTACATGTCGTCTTTATATTCATGTTTAATTCATTTTTTTAGATGTTGAAGTTAACAAGAGATATCGTTAGAGAATTTATAATACAACATAAAATTAAGAAAATGCGATTAATCCGGGTTAATTGCATTATCCAACAACTTCCGATATGATTAAAATGTATTGTAATCATATTACGATGATAGGTATTATGAGCACAAGTTATATACATATGATGCAAAATGTGAGTAATTATATTAATTTGAACATATTCATGTATACTCATAATGACATTTTTGCAAACAGTTTCAAGATATCATAATATTCCGTGTTTTGAGTAGCATATGAGCCTGCATCTGTGTCTATTTTTGTCATCATGTTTTAAGAAATATGAGTACAATATGAGTAAAGTATATACGCGCACTAACAATCGCATATTAGTATATAATATATACAATTGTAAAAATATTGAACATTGTAAGATTCTTTTAGATAACAATTCTTTTACAAAACAATATATAATTTACAATTTTTATAATTTAACGTGATTAAGTGTTTATTCAGACATTTATTCACAAAAAATCAATTAAAGTACAAATTTTACAGTTTGTGTCTTAGATTTTGTTTTAAATAATAGCACAAATAAATAAAAACGTAAAATATGCCATAGTTGCATGGACCAACATAATAGACAGATGTTATATTGACATATACATGTATATACATATATATTTTCGATAATTTTGTAGATAAATACTATGCCCTATTTTTGTATGCAATGTCAATTGAGAATCAACGACGAATGAAATATATTTATTATTCTCTGCTATATTTATTGTATTTATTAATATGAACAATAAAATAAGAAAAGTTGTGATTGCAAGAATTTGAATTAGTGCAGTAGAATTTAAGAATTTAAGAATTTAGAAAAATTAATTAATTTATGAACTTCTTTTTATTACTTTAAGTATATACAAAATATGACATAATTAAAATTTCCCATTTGTTAATATCTATTATTTTGAAACTTGTATAATCGATAGTGTTGCATTTGTATAAGTAAAAACACGTATGTTAATAAAAGACAATGATTTTTATATTTTGATGTATATATAATACTTTTGTGTTGAAGAAGACAATAAAATCGTATTAATGATATTAGATTTTGTATGATATTGTATTTTGATGATAATTGCAGATTTTAAAAATTTGTGGAAGAATCAAGCAAGACTTTAAAATTTGACTAATTCCAACAAGTTATATCTTCCTTTTATGTAGAAGATCTCTTCAATGGATGAGACATTATTTTAAGAAATATAAAGAACAACGTTAAATATAAATTAAAATATATTAAAATGTGGTAATTGTACAAAGATTTATCAAAAAAAAATTTTTTTATATATCTGAAAATATAAAAAACACATAATTAAAAAATACATGCTTAATGCTGAGACAGCAAATGTACTCCGCATTTAAGCACAGAACACAATTAATGTCATTAAAATGTAACACTTTAATTTCCGTTTCTTTGAAACTTCTGTTAAGACACTCATCTTGTATTTTATTTTTCAAAAATACATTTATTAATTTTACAAATATGTTTCTTGAGTGATCGAGCGATTTAAATAATATATAATCCTCTACGTCACGTTATATAATAGTTTACACCCCGTATATACGCGAGAGTAAACTACATAAAATTGTCGAAATTCTTAAAATTTGTACATTATTTATTAAAAAGAAAGAAAGATAAACAGAGAAGGAAAGAGGAAGAAAGATTGAAATATATTTCATAGTATAAATAATGTCGTAACGATATAAATATTCGTATATATAAATTGAAATAAATATAAACAAATTTAAATTAAATTAAAATTTATAATCTAAACATTATATTCAATGTCTGCGCTGTATTTTTTAAATTTATAAATTCATTCTTTGATTTTAATATGCGGCGCATTTATCATGATGTGAATTGAAATATTTTAACTAATTTCGTTAGACAGTCAAAAAAAGAACATAAATTTAATGGAATAAAAATCATAACAAAGTTTAATATAACTATAAACAAAGAATGTTTTCATCGTATCATTTATGCAGAATATCTCTTCGATGGATGTGGCATTATTTTAAAAGGTATAATAAACAACGTGGAGCATGCGATATCTGTGATAAAAATTTCATCCTATCATCTATCGATACATCTGTGATATATCATATAAAAATAAAGCATAAAGAAATTTATACATAATGTTTCAAGTGTGCGGTCTTCTTATTCTATATCAAGAAATATGTTAAATCCAGATAATTTACAAAGACTTATACCTAAATTTTTATATATATCTAAAAATATAAAAAAACATAATTGAAACACACATGCTTAGAACAACAAATATACTCCACACTTGGATATAAAACACATTTAAGGTCATTCTGAAACGCAAGATTTGCGACTAATTTAATAAGATAAATAATTCTTTTAAATTAATGATATTTATTTCAACTTCATAATATCTCTGCATATCTCCAAATGCTACCAAAGGAGTAAGTGAAAAACCGATTAATATAAATATTACTATTTAGTTTTTCTTTAATGATTAATATAAACTTTTGAAAAATAAATGAACAAATATACTTAATGAATAAGAAAGTTAGTCTCGTAATAAACAAGGAATGCGAGCCGAACGCGAAGGTTTGTGTTTTAGATAATAAAAATTAATTTTTCTCCTATGTCTTATAATTGTGCACGAGGCACGAAATTTGTTTAACATAGTGCTAACAATAATATTATTTAAAAATAAATATCAACTTGGTTCTTAATTTTAGAATATCTATTTTAACTCCTAAGTTCCCGATTCTGCAACTTCTAGACCGATATATTTTGCTTTTTCTACATCTTTTTAGGGGATTAGAGAAAAACATAAGAACTAAAATCTCGAATTGAGATTTATTCACAAACATCCGCGTTGAGTTCGCATAGTCTGTTCATTTTGAATTTGCATTTAATCCATGGAGTTTTTATATTCTTATAATAAAACTAAATAAAATTGTAGAATATTCTTATATAAACTATTTGTACATGCATCATTTATTAAATATTCGTATTGTAAGTCGAGAATTTTATTTTAGCTGAGAATTTTATATGTAAAGATTTAAAATTGAAAAATGTAAATCTCTCTCTTACCCCTTCTCTCTTATCGAGATAATTTGACAATGCACAGCACTGGAGTTTATAATTGTAAAATATAAATACATAAATATTATTGGTAGAATTTAATAAAATTCATGATAATTTGAAATAATATTATTTTAATTAAGCTTAAATAATACATAATATAAATACATGAAGATTAATAAAATTTAATATAACTAATAAATTTGTAAAAATATATTATTTAAATAAATCTTAAATAGAGAACAATAAATAAATAAATAATAATAATAAATAAATAATAAATGAATTATTTACCACGTTTTATCTTTCAAGCGCATAAGAAAAAATGGTAAATTTGCTAGTTCTAAATTACATTTTCTGCGCATGCTGTGGCAAGTTCTTATACCTATATCTTAGTGAAAACAAGCAAAAAGGCTTTAAAATTTGGGGTCACATTTCATAATAAAGAACAGACCGTCTGTATCGTGGAAAACGTCTCTCGTATACATCAAACACACATCTGTGCTCTTTGTAATCGGCAAACTCATTTCGTGTACTGCGAAAAGCAAAAAATTAATTACGCGAATAGTTTAATGCAATCACTTTAATTTACATTCCTTTTTTGTGTTTTGTTTCTCATAATGTCTGATTGTAAGATAACGTACTTACCAGAGGAGATAATAACCATCATTCTCGAATATAATGTTATCACTATTGAGGATATCATTAACTTTCGATGCGTGTGCCAGCAATTTCGTTATGCAGCAACCAAATATAACAAGTTCTTGGAAAAAAAGTTATCTCAAAGGTAATTCTTGTGGTTTGTAAATCTTTTTGTTATTTTGTCTCATTAACGCCTGTCGCACAATGATTATCACTTCTGCGAAGAACATATATTATAAATATGTAATAAATACAAAATATTAGAAAAATTAGGTATGTTGATTTATGTTGCATATTAAATTATTCGCTTTCATTTTTTCTATTGCTCAATAATTTTGGCAAACTCTACCGTTATATATATACATATATAATATACATATACATATATATATATATATATATATATATATATATATGGAATGTAAACGTTAAATATAATATACTGAGAAGAATTCTTAATTTTCGACTGTCACAAATTAAAAGACCAAATATTTTTCAACCGACATTTTTCAATTGATGTTTATTTAATTAATCACACAACGTTTCGACCACGGTGTTTCGACCATATAATTTTGGTCTTTCGCACACTTAACAATAACACTTGAGAAAGCCATAAATTATATGAAACGTTGTGTAATTATTTAAATAAATATTAATTAGTTTATATGCATATCGGTCGAAAAATATTCAGTCATTAAATAATTTTTTTAAGATTTAATTATTAAAAATGCAACGTAAAAGTGACTTGATTTATTTATTATAATGTGTATTGTTCAATATATTTAACTACATTTTTAAATATAAAAATTATATTAATGATATATATTCGTGATAAAAGCAAACACATTTGATATTGTTCTATCGGTTCTTTTTTATAAATAGCATCAAAATCACAATAAAATTTTTATAAAAGTAAAAAGCATGCCAAGTGACATATATAAGCACAGTCGACATTGTTTGTAAATATGCTTTCGAAAAAATTGTTTTACAAAATATTAAAAAAAAACTTAATCTATACACAGAACTGTGGCGTCATCTTATCTGCAAATAGATAATAAAAATATGTATTGTCTTTATATCTGCATCTTACAAATAGATAAAAAAAAGTACTACCTTTACTATATTATTTATTGAAAATAATTTTTAGATATTTTGATTTAAAGTCATAGCACATTGGAATACTTAAAGTAAACAATAAAGAGATAAAAATATAAATATATATATTGTTGTATCTTTTTCATAACTTATATTTCTTGTATAACTGTGTTTACATAACAAGTCTTAAATATTATTATCTAACCTTACCATACTATTATCTAAACAATTATCTAAATAAATCGTCATATAATTGTATCTTTTATCTAGATATATTTGAAACAAAATCATCTTCATTCAATCTAAGATGAATTTACATACTTTATCTCATCTTTATCCAGCTAATTTTAAATTAATCTTGACACAACACTAAGTATCATCATCAAAAATTTATTACAATATTTTATGGTCGTATTTTAGATGGCCCTATGCGAAGAAAAGATATGAAAGTCTTACGGAGAAAGAAAACAAAGAAAACCTAAACTTTGTTACAATAGGCATAAATTCTGCGACACATGTGCGGAATTATTTGTCTCACATTCTTTTTTATTGTTACAATACTAAATCAAATCAAAATAACTTCTATTACTTAGTTGCTATTTTATTGAGAATAAAAAATAATGTAAAAAAATGCAGTGGTAATATCGATAAATATGTACATTCTTTGCCTGAAAATCTATTTTTCCTGATCGTCCACATGAGCCTATAAATGTGCTGAAATATATGTTTTATATTGAGGAGATTAAATACTTGTTAACACAATTTCCACAGTAGGATTTTCATATATATTATAATGCTACTATTATTACAATTTAATGTATTTAATCATTAGTTAATACTTCAATATACATTTTTTAGGAATCGCAAATCAATCGAAAGTTATTGCAATATAGAAATGTCTCACTATGAAAAGCTATCTTCGATACGAAATGAGTTGGACAGATATAAAAAGAAACTTGAGAGGGAACAGCTTTTGGAAGAAATTTGTACTTTCGAATCAAAATATATTCAAGTTCGAGAAGATGTATGTTACACGAATGTAAGTGCATCATTGGATACAATCGCACAAGAAGTACGGAATCGTCTCAGAGAGAAGCATCCGAACCATTCGATATTCTCCACGTCTGAAGAAACTTTTTCTTATTGGAAAACCAACAATATCAAAGATAATCATTGGGACAAAACAGAAAGTACGCAGATTATGGATACACTTCAAGAATATATATTTGGCACTTTAAATTTTCGAGTATGTAGGTCCGTACCCGAAGATATCAAATGTTTGTGTATAGATTATGTAAGTTGTTATAGATTATAATATATATAATTATGGGCCATATATGTATACGTTATATGTTGTTTTTAATATTCTCTCGCTTTGATCAATTTGTTCTGTATTATACCTGGCACAGGTTTTACAAAGTAAATTTGGTGAAGAAATCATTGTAAATACAATATTTCATAGCGTGGCTAGAAAACTTGGTCTACGTTGCGATGTAGTAGATATTTGGTCTCACTGCTGTATATCTTGGAAACCAGAATTGTAAGTATAGATATATATTAGAATTGACATTATCATTATTTCTCGATAATCTTTTTTTTTATTATACGCATACATATATAATTTTTTATTATAAAAATTTTCATATGATTAAGGTAATATTTTATTTGTTTACAGCGTCACGAATAATTTAGAAAATGCAAGATGTTTTTACATAAAAGACGAGAAATTCCCGAATTGTCTTCATAATTATCTGCAAAATTACGATTCTTATAAAACATATGACTTCAGCAAAATAAAAACTGAACAGGTTGAAACTTATTTTTACTTCTATTAATTTTAAGTTATTAATATGCTTGTAAATTGACAAGCAATTAATATATTACATTATATGTGTACAGAAAGAAGAGAAATGTACATCTCTCATTTTTTAATTTATAATTAAATCCTTGTTTACATTGAATCTTTATTCATGTTTAATTAACTTTTTTAGATGTCGTACATGATAAAAAATTTAGTTGATAAGTTTATAAAAAACATAAAATATTCAAATTGGGATTAATCCAAGGGATTTGTAATGTGTAAGAAACATCCGCGCGCTAACATAATCGCATATTAGTATATATACCATTGTAAAAATAAAGAGCATTGTGAGATATTTTCAGATAACAATTATGTATAATTTACAATTTTCTATAATTTTACGTGTTTTAAGTGTTTATTGAAACATTTATTCACAAAAAATCAATCAAAGTAAAAATTTTACAGTTTCTGTCTTATTTTAAATAATATAACAAATAAATGAAAACGTGAAATATGCTATGGAAATTATCATAATATCTAATCCACCTACAGATCAATCTACAGATTCGGACCAACATAATAGATAATAGGATGTTATTGACATATACATAGATACATACACATGTTCGGCAATTGAGAATCAACGATGAATAAAATATATCTATTATTTTTCTGCGATATTTATTGTATTAGATAATATAAATAATAAAATAAGAAAATTTTGTGACTGCAACAATTTGAATTGGTGCAGAAAAATTAATAAATCTTATAATAAAAAAATTAATTAGTTTAATAACTTTTTTTAACACTTTCAATATATGCAAAATATGACGTAATAAATTTGCCATCTATTAATATCTATTATTTTGAAACTTATATAATCGATAGTGTGTTGCATTTGTATAAGTATAAATAGGTATGTTAATAAAAGACAATGATTTTTATATTTTCAAATATACACAATTCTTTTGTATTGAAGAAGACGATAAAAACTTATAATTGATATTAGATTTTGTATGATATTAGCATAATTTCAGATGTTGCAAATTCATCTCAATTTTAGAATCTCAATTTTAATTCCTCAGTTTCCGATTCAGCGACTTTTGGACCGATATATTTTGCTTTTCTACATCTTTGTAGGGAAATCAAAAGAAAACATAGGAATTAAAATCTCGAATTGAGATTTATTCACAAACATCTGCGTTGAGTTCGCATAGTCTGTTCATTTTGAGTTTGTATTTAATCCATGAAGTTTTATATTCTTATAAAGTTTAGATTATTAAAATATATACACCCTATATATACGCGCAAATAAAACTACATAAAATTGTAGAATATTCTTATATAAACTATTTGTACATGCATCATTTATTAAATATTCGTATTGTAATTCGGAAATTTTATTTTAGCTGAGAATTTCATCTGTTAAGATTTGAAAAATGCAAAATGTAAATCTCTCTCTTTCCCTTTCTCTCCTATCGAGAACATTTCATAATGCACAGCACTGGAGTTGTAAATTGTAAAATATAAATACATAAAATTGGTAAAATTAATAAAATAAATGATAACTTGAAATAATATTATTTTAATTAAGCTTAAATAATAAATAACACAAATACATGGAAATTAGTAAGATTTGAAATAACTGATAAATTTGGAAAAATATATTATTTTAATTAAGCTTAAATAAAGAACAATACATAAATAAATAGTAATAATGAAGAATAATTAATAAATAAATTATTTACCACGTTCTATCTTTCAAGAGCACAGGAAAAAGTGGTAATTTTTGCTAGTTCTTAATTACATTTTCTGCGCATGCCGTGACAAATCCTTATACCTGTATCTAAGTAAAAACAACAACTTTAAAATTTGGGGTCACATTTCATAATAAAGAACAGAACGTCTACAGTGTGGAAAACGTCTCTCGTATACATCAAACACACATCTGTGCTCTTTGTAATCGGCAAACTCATTTCGTGTACTGCGAAAAGCAGAGAATTAATTACGCGAATAGTATATTGCAATCACTTTAATTTATAATCCTTTTTGTGTTTTGTTTTTCATAATGTCTGATTGTAAGATAACGCGCTTACCAGAGGAGATAATAGCCATCATTCTCGGCTATAACGTTATCACTATTGAGGATATCATTAACTTTCGATGCGTGTGCAAGCAATTTCGTTATGCAGCCAAATATGACAAGTTCTTGGAAAAAAAGTTATTTCAGAGGTAATTCTTGTGATTTGTAAATCTTTTTGTTATTTTGTCTCATTAACGCTTGTCGCACAATGTACATCACTTCTGCGAAGAACGTATATTATAAATATGTAATAAATACAAAATATTAGAAAAATTAGGTATGTTGCATTTATGTTGCATATTAAATTATTCGCTTTCATTTTTTCTATTGCTCAATAATTTTAACAAACTCTACCCGTTATATATATACATATATAATATACATATATATATATATATATATATATATGGAATGTAAACGTTAAATATAACATACTAATAAGAATTTTTAATTTTCGGCTGTCATAAATTAAAAGAACAAATATTTTTCAACCGACATTTGTCAATTGATGTTTATTTAATTAATCACACAATGTTTTGACCACAGTGTTTCGATCATATAATTTTGGGGTCCTTCGCACACTTAACAGTAACACTTGAGAAAAACAAAAATTATATGAAACGTTGTGTGATTAATTAAATAAATATTAATTGGCCTGTATTGATCGAAAAATATTTAGTCATTAAATATTTTTTTTTTATTTAATTTGGTAAAAACTAAATTTAAAAGTAACTTTGCTTATTTATTTTAATGTGTATTTTCAATATATTTAATTGCATTTTTAAATATAAAGATTATATATATGATATATATTCGTGATTAAAACAAACAGATTTTCTATCGGTTCTTTTTCATAATTAGCATTGAAATCACAATCAAATCTTTATAAAAGTAAAAACGTGCCAAGTAACATATATAAGCACAGTCGACATTGTATGTAAATATGCTTTCGAAAAAATTGTTCTACAAAATATTTAAAAAGAAACTTAATATATACACATACATACACATACGCACATTAATGTTTATTAATTCCATATAGAATTCACGTATAGAATTGCGAAATATACATATTAAAATCAAAATTTGAAAATATAGTTTTAATATACTTTTAGGAATACGTAGTTCAAAAATAAATATAAAACTAATGTTATTCATCCAAGTATAAATTAAATTACAAATTAATATTGAATATTATATATTTTAATTTTTCTGATTAAAGTATAATGAAACTTTGGAATCATCTTATCTGCATATAGATAATAAAAATACGTATTACCTTTATATCTGCATCTTAAATGAAAAAAAGTATTCTCTTTACTATATAATTTATCTAGAGTAATTTTCAGATAATTTTGGTTTAAAATCATAGCACATAAAAATACTTAAAGTAGACGGTAAACCGATCAAAATTTAAAAATATTTATAAATATGAATAAATATATATTATTGTATCCCTTTTATAATTAACATTTTTTATAACTATGTTTTTCAGATGGCCCGATGTAAAGAGACAATATAAAATTTTTAAGAAAACAAAGAATGGACAAAACATGAACTTTCTTGCAAAAGGCCTAACTTGTGCGACACAGGTGCGAAACTGCTTGTCTCACATTCTTTTTTACGATTATTATTACAACAATAAATCAAATCAAAATTATGACATTGACCCAATCGATGATGTAATCGGATTCATTGATAATATAAATGAATATTTGAATCGTTTGTTTGAAAATGAACCTTTTTTTCGAAGACTTACCTCTGCAGATGAGATGAAATACTTGTTCTATATTGACGAGATTAAATACTTCTTATCACCATCTCCACAGTAAGATCTTCATATATATTATAGTGCTACTATTATCACAATTTAATGTTTTATTTTATTGATTAACTTAATATTTCAATACATAATTTTTTTAGAAAAATTGATCGCAATTCAATCGAAAGATATTGCGAAATAAAATTGTCTCACTATGAAAAGCTATCTTCGATACGAAATGAGTTGGACAGATATATAGTGAAACCTGAAAGACAACAGCTTTTGGAAGAAATTTGTACTTTCGTGGCAAAATATATTCAAGTTCGAGAAGATGTATGTTACACGAATGTAAGTGCATCATTGGATACAATCGCACAAGAGGTACTGAATTCTCTTAGAAAGAAGCATCCGAACCATTCGATATTCTCTACGTCTGATGAAACTTTTTCTTATTGGAAAACCAACAATATCGAAGATAATCATTGGAATGAAACAGAAAGTACGCAGATTATGGATACACTCCAGGAATATATATTTGGCACCTTGAACTTTCGACCATGCAGGTCCTTTCGCGTACTTATCAATTGTTTGTGTATAGATTATGTAAGTTATTATAGATTATAATACATATTAATTATGGGCCATATTTAAGTTAGGTTTAATTCAGTTCTTATCACAGAAAAAAACAGTATCCTTGAGAGAATGCAAATACGCCTTGATTCAAGTATGTTTTATCCTTATAATAACGCTAAAAATAAATAGTTTTGGATAAAGGATAATTTATCCTTAAAACAAAGTGCAAAATATTCTTGGTTGAAGCTGAAATTTACTTATAAATATTGCAAGGACAAGTGACAAGTGTGCATCGGATATAAGCGGTACTTTCAAATAAATATAATAATTCTTAGTTCAAATGTGACTAAGTTTGTTTTTACCATATATGCGATTTTTAAAACAAGAATATATCTTAAGGATAAAATATACTTTACACAAACTTATTTATTATTAAGGCAAATGAAAATTTGTGATCACAAAGAGCATTCAAATAGCGTTCAAGAATAAAAATATACTTGAATCAAGGATTCCTTTTTTTCTGTGATTGAATATACAGATTGAAAAATCCTTTACAATGAAAAATACCTATAATATGATGAATGGGAAGCGCTGTCCGGCTACAAATTTTTGCTGTTTTATGCCTCGACATCGATTCCGCACGCAAAGTATACTCAGTAAGCAAAAAATCATTGGTACAACGTCATTATTGCTGTCAAGTATGTACTTTTTAACATTGTATGCAACATCATTATGAACAAACTTTGACATTGATTTAGAGGTTTCAATAATGTTGAAATTAACCTTTAAAATATTTTATTTATATTTTGAGAGCACATTATGTTATTGAATAATATTTTTAAAACATTTATAAAACATCAATTAAAATATTTTTTAAAATATTTATTAATAATATTTTAAACATATTTCTACAACATTATATCATAACGTTTGGAAAATTTATATAAAATCAACATTATAAAATGTTGATTAAATATTTCTTGCTTACTGGGTATATACATACATAATTCATTCAAGTACGAATCCGCTGATACAAGCTTTTAATCTCATTTTTATTACTTCTGTATTATTCTTTTATGTTATCTCTATTAAGGACGCCATATTTTGTGCACAAATAATCTGCAGAATACTTTTGTATTAAATAATCTGCAAAATACTTTTGTATTAAATAAGTATTGTTATGAGCTGATGCAACAAACGGATATAAAAACTGTAATTTCTTAACATTTATTGTTTTCTATACAAAATCACAGCGCTCCCCGTTTATTATTATCAGTACTTTAATTGTAAAAAAACATTGTTCAACCTATATAGACAATAAAAAGAAAAGCCCTTGAACTCGAAGTCGGTAAAACAATCATGATCGGCATTCCTTTAATATTCTCTCGCTTTGATTAATTTAGTCTGTATTATATTTGGCACAGGTTTTACAAACTAAATATGGTCAAGATATCATTGTAGTTACAATATATCATAGCGTGGCTAGAAGGCTTGGTTTACGATGCGATGTAGTATTTGTTAAAACTGAAACCTGTATATTTTGGAAACCAAAATTGTAAGTATAGATATATATTAGATTCGACATTATCATAATTTTTCGGTAATCTTTCTTTTCTTATTAAACGCATACATATATAATTTGTTATTATAAAAATATTAATAACGATTAAGGTAATATTTTAATTGTTTACAGCGTCACTAATAATTTAGACGATGCGCGATGTTTTCACATAAAAGACGAGCATTTCCCGATGTGTTTTAATCATTTTCCAGAACACTACACCGCGATAAGAACTAAAGAGGTTGAAAATTACTTATTTATTACTTCTATTAATTTTAAGTTCTTAATGTACTTGTAAATTTACAAAGAATCAATATATTACACTCTATATGTATAGGAAGGAAAGAATAAATGTACAATTTCTCATTTTTTAATTTACAATTAGATCTTTGTTTAACATTTAATCTTTGTTCATGTTTAATTTATTTTTTTAGATGTTGTCGCTACTAAGAGATTTCTATGGAATGTTTATAACTAGACATGAATTAACCACTATGACATTAGTCAAAGTGCATTGTGATGTGCTGATAACATACCCGCACTAACATAATCGGATATTAGTATATAATATAAACAATTGTAAAAATAAAGAACTTTGTGAGGGTCTTGCAGATAACAGTTATGTATAATTTACCATTTTTTATAATTTAACTTGGTTTAAGTGTTTATTGAGACATTTATTTACAAAAAATCAATCCAAGCAAGAATTTTATAGCTTGTGTTTCATAATTCGTTTTAAATAGTAGAACACATAAATGAAAACGTAAAATATGCCGTAATAATTATCATTATATATAATTCATTTACAAATCAATCTACAGATAGTTGGGCCAACATAATGGACAGATGTTTTTGACATATACATATATACATATATTTTCAACTTTTATATTATAGATATAAATAGTATGCTCTATTTTTGTATGCAATGTCAAGTAAGAATCAACGCGATAAATAAAATATATTTATTATTCTCTCTGCTATATTTCTTGTATTAATTAATAAAAATAATAAAATATAAAAAATTGTAATTACAACAATTTGAATTAGTGCAGAAGAATTAATAGAGTATAAAATTTAAAAAAATTAATTAGTTTATTAACTTTTTTTTAACACTTTCAGTATATGCAAAATATGACGCGTAATAAATTTGCCATCTATAAATATATTTTATTTTGAAACTTTTATAATTGATAGTGTGTTGCATTTGTATAAGTATAAACAGGTATGTTAATAAAGAGCAAAGATTTTTATATTTTGAAATAAATTCTTAATGTTGATATTTAAGAATATCGAAGATTCAAGTAGGCATAGAAATAATTGAAAAAGACAATAAAAGCTTACTAATGATATTAAATTTAGTATGATATTAATATAATTGCAGATTTTGCAAATTCATGCAAGATTTAAACAAGACTTTAAAATTTTATCAATTCCAACAACTTATATCTTTTTTTATACAGAGAATCTCTTCAATGGAGGAGGCATTTATTTAAGAAATATAACAAACAACGTGCAACACGCGATATCTATGACAAAAATTTCATCCTATCATCTAGCGATACACCTATGAAATATCATATAAGAATGAAGCATAAAGAAATTTATACATAATGTTTCAGATGTGCGGCCTACTTATTCTATATCAGAAAATATATTAAAATGAGATGATTGTACAAAGAATTATACCAAAATATTTTATATATCTAAAAATATAAAAAAAAAACACATAATTGAAACGCACGTGCTTAGAACAGCAAATATACTCCACACTTGGGTATAGAACACATTTAAGGTCATTCTAAAACGCAAGATTTGCGACAAGTTATACGAGATAAATAATTCTATTAAATTAATAATACATTTATTTCAATTTCATAAAATATCTTTGCACCTCCCTAAATGTTATCAAAGGGATAAGTGAAACACCGATAAATTGATTATTATTATTAGTTAGTTTTCTTTTAATGATTAATATAAACTTTTGTAATATATAAACAGGGTTATGCTTAATAAATAATAAATTCAGTCTTGAAATAAACAAGGCGAGCCGAACGCGAATGTTTCTGCGTTAGAAAGCAAAAATTAAGTTTTTCACTATGGTTTATATAATCATTGTGCACGAGGCACGAAAATTTCTTAATATAGTGATAAGACCATTTAGAAATAAATCTCAATTTTAATTCCTAAGTTCCCGATTTAGCGACTTTGGACCGATACATTTTTTTTTTACATCTCGTTAAAGATATCAGAGAACATAGAAATTAAAATCTTGAATTAAGATTTATTCCTAAGTAGTTTTAGCAAGTGCTAAGAAAATTTCATGCCTTGTACACGTGCAGATATTAGACGCAATGAAAAAATTAATTTGCATGAAGTTTTATATTTTTATAAAGTTTATATTTCTAAAATATATGCACCCCGTATATACGCGCCAATAAAACTACATAAAATTGTAGAATATTCTTATATAAACTATGTATATACATCATTTATTAAATATTCGTATTGTAAAAGTCGGGGATTTTATTTTAGCTGAGAATTTTACCTGTAAAGATTTGAAAAATGAAAAATGTAAATATCTCTCTTTCCCTTTCTTTTTTATAGAGAAAATTTCATAATGCACAGCACTGGCGTTTTAAACTGTAAAATATAAATACATGAATATTATTGGTAAAATTTAATAAAATAATTGACTATTTAAAATAAAATTAGTTTAATTAAACTTAAATAATACATAATATAAATACATGGAATATAGTAAAATTTAAAATAACTAATAAATTTGTAAAAATATATTATTTTAATTAAGCTTAGATAGAAAACAATATAAATAAATAAATAGTAATAATAATAAATAAATAATAAATAAATTATTTATTAAATTTCTTATATATCTGAAAATATGAAAAAACACATAATTCGAACACACATGCTTAGTGATAAGACAGCAAATGTACTCCGCATTTGGGCACAGAACACATATAATGTCATTAAAATGTAACACTATAGTTTCCGTTTCTTTTAAACTTCTATTAGAACACTCATCTTGTATTTTATTTTTCAAAAATCAATTTATTAATTTTACAAATATGTTTTTTCAGTAATCGAGCGATTTAAACAATATATAATCCTCTATATCACGTTATGTAATAGTTTACATCCCGTATATACGCGTGAGTAAAACTACATAAAATTGTAGAATATTTTTAAACTAATTATATTCAATACATAATATATACAGTACAGTATATACAATATATTGCATATAATTTATATAGAATTTTATGAAATTTTCTCGATAAGAGAAAAAGGGAAAGAAAGAATTTTACATTTTTCAAATCTTTATACAAATAAAATTTTCAGCTAAAACAAAATCCTTGATTTTTACAGCACAAATGTTTATATGAATTATATCGCTAGGACATTATTTATATACATGTTTTATTGAAATGTTTAGAAATACATATGTACATCTAAAATTGCTGTGCAAAAGTTTTTTAAGTTTTGTGTTTTAACCAAAATGTGAACGTCACGCGTTCTTTCAAGCGCATAGAAAGAAATGGTAAATTTGCTAATTCTAAATTACATTTTCTGCGCATGCCGAGGCAAGTCCTTATACCTATATCTTAGTGAAAACTAACAATAAAATTATAAAATCTGAGGTCAAATTTAATAATAAAGAACAGACCGTCTGTATCGTGGAAAACGTCTCGCCTTTACATCAAACACACATCTGTGCTCTTTGTAATCGGCAAACTCATTTCGTGTACTGCGAAAAGCAAGGAATTAATTACGCGAATAGTTTAATGCAATCACTTTAATTTACATTCCTTTTTTGTGTTTTGTTTCTCATAATGTCTGATTATAAGATAACGTGCTTACCAGAGAAGATCATAACATCATTCTCGGCTATAATGTTATCACTATTGAGGATATCATCAACTTTCGATGCGTGTGCCAGCAATTTCGTTATGCAGCAACCAAATATAACAAGTTCTTGGAAAAAAAGTTATCTCAAAGGTAATTCTTGTGGTTTGTAAATCTTTTTGTTATTTTGTCTCATTAACGCCTGTCGCACAATGATTATCACTTCTGCGAAGAACGTATATTATAAATATGTAATAAATACAAAATATTAGAAAAATTAGGTATGTTGCATTTATGTTGCATATTAAATTATTCGCTTTCATTTTTTCTATTGCTCAATAATTTTGGCAAACTCTACCGTTATATATATACATATATAATATACATATATATATATATATATATATATATATATATATGGAATGTAAACGTTAAATATAATATACTGAGAAGAATTCTTAATTTTCGACTGTCACAAATTAAAAGACCAAATATTTTTCAACCGACATTTTTCAATTGATGTTTATTTAATTAATCACACAACGTTTCGACCACGGTGTTTGGACGATATAATTTTGGTCTTTCGCACACTTAACAATAACACTTGAGAAAGCCATAAATTATATGAAACGTTGTGTAATTATTTAAATAAATATTAATTAGTTTATATGCATATCGGTCGAAAAATATTCAGTCATTAAATAATTTTTTTTAAGATTTAATTATTAAAAATGCAACGTAAAAGTGACTTGATTTATTTATTATAATGTGTATTGTTCAATATATTTAACTACATTTTTAAATATAAAAATTATATTAATGATATATATTCGTGATAAAAGCAAACACATTTGATATTGTTCTATCGGTTCTTTTTTATAAATAGCATCAAAATCACAATAAAATTTTTATAAAAGTAAAAAGCATGCCAAGTGACATATATAAGCACAGTCGACATTGTTTGTAAATATGCTTTCGAAAAAATTGTTTTACAAAATATTAAAAAAAAACTTAATCTATACACAGAACTGTGGCGTCATCTTATCTGCAAATAGATAATAAAAATATGTATTGTCTTTATATCTGCATCTTACAAATAGATAAAAAAAAAGTACTACCTTTACTATATTATTTATTGAAAATAATTTTTAGATATATTTGATTTAAAATCATAGCACATTGGAATACTTAAAGTAAACAATAAAGCGATAAAAATATAAATATATATATTGTTGTATCTTTTTCATAACTTATATTTCTTGTATAACTGTGTTTACATAACAAGTCTTAAATATTATTATCTAAACAATTATCTAAATAAATCGTCATATAATTGTATCTTTTATCTAGATATATTTGAAACAAAATCATCTTCATTCAATCTAAGATGAATCTACATACTTTATCTCATCTTTATCCAGCTAATTTTAAATTAATCTTGACACAACACTAAGTATCATCATCAAAAATTTATTACAATATTTTATGGTCGTATTTTAGATGGCCCTATGCGAAGAAAAGATATGAAAGTCTTACGGAGAAAGAAAACAAAGAAAACCTAAACTTTGTTACAATAGGCATAAATTCTGCGACACATGTGCGGAATTATTTGTCTCACATTCTATTTTATTGTTACAATAATAAATCAAATCAAAATGACGTCGATTACTTATTTGGTAATTTATTGAAAATAAAAATAATGTAAAAAAATTCAGTGGTAATATCGATAAATATGTACATTCTTTGCCTAAAAATCTATTTTTTCCTGATCGTCCACATGAGCCTACAAATGTGCTGAAATATATGTTTTATATTGAGGAGATTAAATGCTTGTTAACACAATTTCCACTGTAAGATTTTCATATATATTATAATATATATATTATATACAATTTAAAGTATTTATTCATTAGTTAATACTTCAATATACATTTTTTAGGGATCGCAAATCAATCGAAAGTTATTGCAATATAGAAATGTCTCACTATGAAAAGCTATCTTCGATACAAAATGAGTTGGACAGATATAAAAAGAGACCTGAGAGAGAGAACAGCTTTTGGAAGAAATTTGTACTTTCGAATCAAAATTTATTCAAGTTCGAGAAG